TGTAGGTATTACTAAATCTATGTTTAAATATAGCCTTTTTGCTTTTAGGTAATCAGAGAATATAAAGTAATAAATTACAATGACAACAGCTTGGTTCTTATGCCTGACCAATGTCTGAGATTAAAATAACCATTTTCACCAACCACCCTCAGACCATCCCTTAACTAAAACTAACTCTGCCTAACTTGTACCTCAACTAACCCCTTAAGTGTACTCTTAGGTGTCACTTATACATTGGTGAAAATCAAAAAGTCGTTAAAGTTCACCTATTCAAGATTAGGGATTCCTTAATATTTAAGAAAGGTTCAGGGAACAGTGACGATAGTTCCCTTAAGATCGGAAAAAGAGGATCCTCCGACCAGGCGAGGTGATCGTGGCTGGCGGGGCTTCTGCCCAACATTGGATTTTCTATCCGAGTTAATTTGCATGTAAACTTTGCATGTGCGATGTAGGATTTTTGTGACGTCATCCGTTGACATGTACCATGTGTCGTCACAAGTGCAAGTGGGTCTTAGTATCTAATATTCAACAGAAGCACTATCAATCTCTTAACCAAATGAAACAATCATTCCAATAGGACAAATTACTCACTTTAAATTCGCTGCAAATGCATAAATCAATAAATCCGCCATTAAACCTGATGGGAAAATAAAGACGTCTAATTAAAGCAGCCGTTAAAGCGCTTGACCGCTTTACGGTAGAATGTTGGAGTATCTGCAGTACTTTGTTTTAAAGCTTTGTGGGAGCCAGTTTTTCAGCGCTTAAGTGCTTTTGATATTGAAACTATCGTTTTTGTCAAACGATGCTTGGCCGTTGTAGTTTTTTTTTTAGTTTTTGTGCAGCTACACTAAAGTGGGAAGCGTGAAAATTGTTCGTTAACGGCTTGGCTTGACGTGAATAGTAAATCGGTGAGGTGTATAGCTATAGAAGCATTTCAACACAATCTAATTTAAAAATGTTTTGAATACTGTTTTGATGGGTGTCTTGTTCGTGTTTTTTTTTATGGCATAAGCCGGTAAAGCCGGACACCTAGAACACCAGAGGCGTTACAAGTGCGTTACCAGCCTTTTGGGGATTAGGAGTTTGAGGATCGTTGGGGTTCAGGGATTGGGGAGATAGTGGTAGGGGAGGGTAATTGAGCCTCCGGTAACCTAACTCACACGACGAAACACAACGCAAGCGTTGCTTCACGTCGGTTTTCTGTGAGGCCGTGGTACCACTCCGGTCGAGCCGGCCCATTCGTGCCGAAGCATGGCTCTCCCACACTTATCTGTTGTTGTTGTTCTGGAAATTTGATAGTTTACTTTAAACAGGCAAAAAAACCAGAGATTATCTGCTTTAAAATAGGATTTTTCTGTGGTTTGTTACTTTCACGGACATCATAAGCACTCTTATACAGCGACATAATGCATTAAAAACTAAACCCACTATTTTATGCCATCCAATTTCACGATGATTCACCGCAATCCCATTTAACAACTCTATTAAAGCCGACATAAAAGAAAAAATGAAATTACACAATTTTTCTACACAAAATTCTACGTAATCCAACAAAGAGTATGTTAATTCATCCTCAAAAAGTCTAAACATGTCCCCTGACAACCTTTGCTCCGTCCTACAGAGAGGATAACACAGCGTCTGCCTCGTGACGTCACCCCAATTATACACAAACAAAACAATTTGTATGCCCATTTACACACGAAAAGGTACTAAACACATTTTTCACTGTTGAAAAATTAATCCCACCCAGAACGTACAAAACAAACAAACAAAAAAAAACAACATTTAAAAATTAATGAATTATGTTTTTCGAACAAAATGATACAAATTAATTATTGTTTTTGTCTTACAGAACTGTTTGACGAGGAACTCGACTAGTTTCAAGCTATGCTCGAGGCTCATAATGTACACAATCTAGCATGACTTTAAACTGGTCGAGTTCCTCGTCAAATAGTTACGTGAGTAACTTGAAAACAATAATCAATTTAGTATATCTCCCGTAATATACAAGGTGTTGTTTTAAAGCCGCGTCATTTTCTAGGAGGTAACTCGGCTATCGATTCTAAGTTCGAATCAATAAAAAAAAATGTAGGTAAATATTTTTAAATTTTCTGTAAATTACGGAAATCTGTTAGTGCGAATTACACGCCTCCGTCTTGTAACTAGCTTTATAACGTGGCTCAACACACACAAACTGAAACACGTAATTGATATTATTCCTAACTTATGGAGTTAAGTAGAGTTACTTTAGTAGTTGAGTAACTTTAATAAGAAACATTGCTGTCGTTTATTCTGAAATATTGTCGAACTTAAACGAGTTATTATAGCCATATTTTTAACTATTGGCCCTAAACTTTTTCTGACATTGAACCTTTATGACTTCTGTGACATGCCCCCAAAAAATGTATAATAGAAAACTGATAGAAGTCTTCCGGAGAAGTAAAAAATTGTATCCTGTAGCACCAATATCTGTATTTAGTTAAAAGGGGATGAATTTTTGCAGGCATTATTAATTCAAATTAATGAGTCGTATGGGTAAAGGTTATCTGAACGCTGCGAATGAAAACGGTCAAATATCATCACGAGGTACTGTCGACATGAGCTTGGTATTTTTTAGTCGTTATGAGTCGACGTCGTGCCGTGGAATTTAATCAGACTCTTTGATGTTCGCTATGTTACCTGGAAAAACTAATTACCTTTATGTTATTAGTACTGACATCAACTGGTATTTTTAATTATTTTGAATGTGCTTGTACTCTATATTTGTTATCGTGACTAAGTTTAAAAACGTTAGTAAAAAGTGCCTACACAGTAAGATAATATAAAAATTTTTACATCACGCCTTTTATCCCCGAAGGGGTAGGCAGAGGTGCACACAGATGTAACACCCACTTTTCACTATTTATGTTATGAGTCCCATGTAATAGGGGATGAGCCTATTGCCATATACCGGGCACATTTCCAGACTCCGTGCTACTATTGAGATTTTTTAAAAACCCAGTAATACTTTGCCTGACCCGGGAATCGAACCCGAGTCCCCTTACCCGGCAGTCGCACTTGCACTTGCAACACTCGGCCAACAAGGCAGTCTAAAAATTTTTAGTTCTACGATTTTCTATAGAAATATTCCAGCTACGATATGAGAAAACAAACATTATGTTCATCTTATCTTCATACTTCATAGAGACGTAGAAAAAATACATACAAAAATTAAACCTTTATTTAAACACTTGAATAGAATCACTTAAAATAAATTATCACAACTGTGCTTATTCTAGAAAATTCTCAGCAGATATCAAAGAATTAAAAGAGCAAAACATAAAAAAAGTAAAGACAAATGAATACAAATGAAATTAAATGAAACTAAGTTTAGCCAATAAAAATATTTTTCTTTGGCTAGAAAAAACAGAACTTCGTTAAGTAATGGCCTTCAAGTCTGAATACTTCAGTAAGAATAATCAAGTTATGTGCTATTAAGCTTAAAGAAAATATGTCAAGAATTTTTGCCAAGTCTTTGTACTGTGAGGGGGCGTCCATTTTAGTACTTAAGTCGTTTGTCGTTTTGGTGCTGAGTTTTGTAACCGTTACATGTTTGACACACAAACGTTTCTACGAAGAGGTGAATAGAAAATCCAAGCGAAAATAAAGTAGTTTAATGACGTGCAGTTCTTACTTTAGGTGGTTTAATATCACAGTTTGAAAGGTGTGGGTTAAGTTTGGGAGTATCGCCAATCGCCATGGATGGCACGGCTCGACCGGAGTGATACTTACAAAAATAATTTAACAAGTAAAACAACGCTTGCGTTGAGTTTCGTCGTATGAGTGAGGTTACCGAATTACTAATCTCCTCAATACCCAAATCCCCAACAGTACTCAAATTCCTAATCCCTAAAAGGCCGGTAACGCACTTGTAGTACCTCTGGTGCCGCCTCACCCGGGTGAGAAAGTCATTGGATGAATTTCCGCCCTCAAAAAAGAATCACCTCTGGTATTTCGGGCGTCCATGCGCGTCGGCGATTACTTACCATCAGGTGATCTGTCTATTTGTTTATCGGCTTATTCCATTAAAAAAGGTGTGTTATGTGCCCTGCCTATACCAAATCCATTGAATAGCGACATGATAGCCAATGACGCACAAAGCGACACATTTACGGAATATTGCAACACCTAATATGCTGAGTCGACTCCTCGTGTCGCCGCATCGTGACTTACTTCCACAGTGCTGATGTTGCATCTGTATTTTACGTAGAATTAATTCGGACTATAATATGTATTAATAAAATAATTCACTTTGGTACTAGCATCGTCCAAGTCTACACATAAAACTATTGTAATATTTAAATTAATTAAACTTTTATCTTTAAAAGTTTCGATTATTTCAAAGTCCTCCGGCTGTCACCTACATAATTGGTGTATAAACAATTGCTATAGTAACATATCACACTAGAACATTATTAACTGCCAAATACTAACCTTTATACATTCAAGTAAAAAGTGTCCTTTTTGTACATTGTCTTCCATTCCAAGAATAAAAAGAGTAATGTCATGTTTTGCTATTAAACAAACAGGTTGTATAACATCATAAATTATGTATAATGTACATTACATACCATTAATCATACCTAGGCTCGGTTACAGGCCATATTAAATTCTATATTTAATTCAAAGTGCTATAGTCCACAATGAGGTTAGTCTAACAATGGGTTTTATCGTACATATTTCTGTGGCTATAGAAGAACAATGGAAAGCTCCAATCAATATTCAAGGCAATCGCTTTGCAAAGAAAATATTTACCTTTCATTTTGATCTTTCAAAATCGTTACCGATAATGAGAATGTCGGTTTATTCAGAAGCGTCGCCAAATCCGTTTTAATTATTATAGATCTTAATTGAATTTTTGATAAAGCAAACATTGTTGTTATTTTATCTTTGAAAAATATCCGAGAGGAAATTGTGAATCAGAATTCCTTTGAATCTCATAATACTCTCTATTGTTTCAGATATTAATATGAACGTGGTAATGCAGTACCAAGAAAACAAGCTCTGACCAACAATGTCATAACAACAAAACAAATGAATTCACAAGAAAATAAAACGGATACGTAGTAAAGAAATGGGTGTACACAGGTGATATTCACAGAAAATGGACACCCACAAACTGCCACTACATATTTGCAATTCAATAAAACAGTATATGGTAAACATAGATATAGTCTCGAAGATAATAAAGACACATTTTAGAAAGATAATCGAGCAGAAACGAAGGTTAACCTTGGAATTGGGTTTGCAAGAGAAACTGAAGATAGTAATACTACTTGTATTGTTGATGACACAGAACTCAGATTGCAACGGATTCGGTGGCAGGAATTCGATGCTAAGGACAAGGGTGATTGGAACTCGGTACGGGAAACTTCAAGGAGTAATATTGCCGATGGATCAACACAAGTACTTGAAGCCAGTCGAGGCGTATCTTGGCGTGCCCTATGCAACACCACCAACGGGGTCAAACAGGTATGTCGTCTATTTTATGGTCGGTCAGCTTCATCTTATTAAACGCTCGGCTTGAGTCCGACGTGTTGCTAAAGTGGATATGTCGAATATACGGATAGCTTTCTTGAACAAATTTATTTGCGGAGACGTTTGGAAGTGGTACTTAAGTAGAAACTAGACAAGTTTAGGATATTATTTCTGTCGTTAGAATAGTTGGAGAAACAACGTCGCTTTGTAATCATCACAAGTCGTACAAAACTGTTATTGCAATTTCGCGGTCTTGTCTTGTATCACACAACTTTATAATGTATTCCCTGTGTTTCTGAGTTTAAAGTAGTTTACACAAAATGAGTGTCAGAGACAACAGCGTACACTAGCATTAGAGACACATCTGGATAGGAACGACTACACGCTAGTCTTTAGTGATCATAGGGTAGTTAGATAAATACAATTTTGGAAACGTAATGTACAAAATATCTGTTAAAAACGAACATAAATCATTAATTTTTGCTTAAGCTTTTGCGCTCACAACCACTACATCAACAAGAGATTAGCTAATAATATTTACAAAAAAGATCCCTAAAACCAAGATAGTCTACCGCTTACATTTTACTAATTATATAACCCTGTTTCATAATACCAAAGCCCTAAGGCGGTTCAAATTACTAGCAAAAGCAAATTTTAATATTAGCATAATAAAAATGTAGGAACCTTTTACTCCCGAAAAATACGAATCATTTATTAATGAGCAATATGAATGTTCCACGAAATAGACGAAAAAACGTGGGCTCTCTTTCAACGTCACTTGACATTATTACAGCTACTTACTTCGTTATATTGAACTTGTTTTAGTTTTTGGTTTCGCTTGCATTCATATAAATTTTATTAGTCAATTCAATATTGTGAACTCGATTTTCTTCTCTTTATTTATCTCAAAGACCCTTCAAATATGGGTGTGTAAATGTATCATTTATAGCATTTATATACCTCATTTTAATTACAGCACTTTACTCTAGAACTCAGTTGGAACTGTATTTTAATACATCACAGTTATTTCATATTACACTGCAAACGTCCAATTAGTGGAAATTAATTTGAGGAAACAGTTCCTTCAGTTGCAGCTTTCGGAGACAAAGTCAAAACAGAAAACTCATTAACAAAGTGAGACTGTGTTGGGAATTTTTAATAACTTTCTCAACAAAAACGTGCTGTGGTTTTTTGTTTTGTGATGGTTAATGTTAGTATAGCTGTTATTATTGTTAAAAGAAGTCTAATATTAATTGTACCAAAAATAAATTGACATAAATTGATAATCTTAAATCACACTATTACACTATGCCTTCTCAATCAAATAATAAAAATGAAATTATTGGACTTTAAGGTTAACATTTTGTAAGTTGTCAATAAGTATCGTGGAAAACACCAGGCAGTACAGCATCCGATCTTTTTCATAATGGCATTTTATTATGATAGCATATGAAGAGATTATAAAATCATAGTGTTTCAGAAAATAATCTAGTTTTTCTTCCACATTAAATTACATTGTAGTTCTTACCTTTCTTTCTTCCTAAATAAAGAGTTTGTTCAACTTTTCTATGGTTCCATTAAAAATAAATCAAACATTCATGGTTTGTGAGTGCTTAACTTTTTTGTTTAAAAGCTGTCTTACGATTATCGTTAGCTTAAACAAAGTCATGTTCTTCCTACGCATTAATTCTTTTCTCTGAGAATTTTCATTGTAGCCGCCATCTTGTGCAAATACTTCAGATTCGAATAAAGTCAATATTTTATGTATGTATTGTGTAACTGCTGTTATGTTCTTCACTAATATAACTTGTTGTTTGTATTTCGTCCTCCCTGTTATGGCTTGCACTTTCTCTGGGCCAGTAAATTTTTTTGCCCAAACTTCTCTTCTCGTCTCTTCTCATTCCTCAACTTACTAGAAATCAACTATATTTTCATAAGACTGCACTAGTTCATCTTCTTCTTCCTCCATCCCACCATGTGCCCCTCTTTTTTACACTTGATAGGTCGACGTTTGGTCACCATGGAGCACGCTTACCTATGGGCAACCTATTTACTCGGGTCTTGATCCAAGTTACATTTGTCAGGAAACACAGACTCCAGCAAGGAGTTCTATTCTCTGCTTCGTGCGAATGGGTGGAATGTCTACCATATTAGGGTGGCGCCCTGCTGTTCGTCTGGTAGTACGGTGGTGAGACAGATTAAGGTTGTGCAATTCCAACGCACACTCACTTTTTTCATTCCTCGTTCAACTACTGTTTGAACCTTCACCCTATTTCGATATCTGTCTACTGTTGACTAATAAGTCTCTCCAACAGTCGACCACTGATATCAAAGTTTTCTTCTTGACATCTAACTGTTACCAGCCACTTTGTTGATATAAGTCATTGTCGGTTAACCTAGCTGGACAAATGTTATTTAGTTCCATCATTAACATATTAAATTAACACCTATAATTGGGACTTTTGTCGCTATGATTCGATATTCAGTATCGCGTCAATTATTTACATACGATCGGAAGTGAGAGATATTATCATTTTAATGACATTGCATTAATTTCATCTTTAATTATTATTGGCAGGCGTTTCATGTATTATTTAAAAGTACTATCGGCTGTTAATTTTTATGAGTATCGCTATTTTATCTGTATGATTTGTTTATTAATACAAACTTACATTTTTCGTACAAACTTACATTACCGGCAAGGGAGACTAATTTATTTAAACAAACACATAGGTTTGTCTTTAAATGCATGCTTACATGTATTTATTATAATTATAGTTTCAAATATTGGCACAATTAATAAATACTAGATTACCAACGTGTTCAAATTTATTATAGAATGCCAATAAACAATAACTTTTAGGACCATATAATTTTATGAATTGAGTATTTATGAATACAGCATCGTTGCCTATTAATTTATGTACATAATTAACTTGAAACTTTTCATATTTACGATAATTTAACGCTTTTGTACTTTTGGAAATAATGCGATTAATTTATGTCATTTTAGGTTAGCAATATGATAAATTGGGTTGATATAATGATAATGATAAAATAAAATACATGGAACATAGGAGACAAAAAATAAATTAAAATTAAATTACCACTTTCAATTTGTCAAAGTGAAGAGTGTAGAAATGAACAACAATTGTTTCATGAACCAATATATTAATCCAATATTTGTCACCAGATTTGCGCCAACCCGAGCGCCAGCCCCATGGGATGACGTCAAAACAGTGGACCAAATGGGTCCAGTCTGTCCTCAAAGACTGCCAGACATCTCCAACGAAACATTGGCATTGGAGAGGATGCCAAAAGGAAGACTGGAGTACTTGAGGAGATTACTTCCTCGTCTGAAGAATCAAAGTGAAGACTGCTTGTATATGAATATCTACACTCCTGTGCAAGGTCAGTCACTTAAAACTGTACTTTATGGTGATAAAAATATGGTTTATTTTCCTAAAGCAGGCAAACCAAAGCAAGGTTGCTTTTCGAAGGTATTACTATGACATGAATATTCCATTCCTTATCTTACAACTAGCTTATTGGTAGATTAATAATGGTGTATGGTAACTGTCTCCGTCGCGTCATTTGACGAATGCATCCATCTATCACAAACAATTGGCAGCCTACAAACGACAAATGCTTTCATCTTGCTTAGAAACAATGAAAACTGCCCACGAAGTGACAGTGTTAAATCCTTAAAGTCATTGGTACCTAATTAATTACGATTTTTTTTATTTTGTTAATAATATTTTATGGTCACTAACAATATTCAAAAAGAAATAGTCTATACAGTTTATAATATTAAAATAACCGCTTTTTACTTCATACTTTTATGTAGTGGGAGAGCCATGCTTCGGCACGAATGGGCCGGCTCGACCGGAGTGATACCACGGTCTCACAGAAAACCGACGTGAAGCAACGCTTGCGTTGTGTTTCGTCGTGTGAGTGAGGTTACCGGAGGCCCAATTACCTTCCCCTTCCCCAATCTCCCCAATCCCTGAATCTCCAACGATCCTCAAACTCCTAATCCCCAAAAAGCTGGTGACGCACTTGTAACGCCTCTGGTGTTCCAGGTGCCCATGGGCGACGCCGATTGCTTACGATCAGGTGATCCGTCTGCTCGTTTACCGGCTTATGCCATAAAAAAAATACATACGATACTCTTTCTAATATATTTTATTACATTTTTAGTTTGTCTGTTTGTACTGGCTAACCTCTGGGAGGGCGGGGGGCCAAACGCCTCCTGCCGGAGGTTATACGCCGGGGTCGTGCGGTCCATGGCCCTCTACGGCGCCCCTGTTTGGGCGCCAAACCTGTTGCGGCGTCCCGCTCGGACGCTGCTCATGGCACAGAGGGTCATGGCGATCCGAATGATCCGCGGATACCGCCGTGGGATCTGGGAGTCGGCGAACCTCCTTGCCGGATTACCGCCGTGGGATCTGGAGGCGAAGGTGCTCGCGCGCGTGTACAGCATGCGCGCGGAGGCACGTCGCCGGGGCGAAACCCCGCTGCCGCGCCAGATAGGTGCGTGGCGGGATGAGCTCCGGCGCGATCTCATGGCGGAATGGCAGCAACGACTGTCGCAACCGAGGGCTGGGCTCGCTGCCATCGCAGCGGTAAGTCCCCTCTTTGAGGAGTGGCTTGAGAGACGCTACGGCGTCCTCACCTACCGCCTGACGCAGGTCCTCACCGGACATGGAAGTTTCGGGAGGTACCTGTGTCTGATGGGGCGGGAGGAAACGCCCGGGTGTCATCACTGCGAGGACCGCCCTGAGGACACGGTGGAACACACGGTGGGAGAATGCCCTTCGTGGGCTGAGCACCGCCGTGTCCTCAGGGAAGTGATCGGCGATGGCGACCTCTCGCGTCCGGGCCTAGTGCAGGCCATGATGCGGAGCGAGGGGGATTGGGATGCCGTCTCCTCCTTTTGCGAAGCAGTCATGCTAGCTAAGGAGGAGGCGGGACGCGTGAGGCAGCGAAGCGCTGCCTCCTCGCAACCCAGCCATCGCGAAGGACACACCGGGCGTCGGGGATCGCGGGACGATCTCCGGCCACCGTAAGCGCGGGCCTGCGGACGGCGAGCATGGGTGGCTCCCCGTCCGACCAGAAACAGACCCGAGCGTACGGCGCGTCGCGTTCCGCGCGCGCCTCAAAGAGCCATCAGACCACCACAGATGGGGCCCAATAGGGCCGATGCCGATTCGGAGTCGCGGAGAACCTAACGGGTAACCGGGGCTCCGGCTCGACGTGCAGGAGAAGGAACGGGGTGGTTTTTAGTCAGTAAGAGTCTGACACTCCCTTCCGCCTCACCCAGGCGGGAGCAGTCATTCGATGATTTTCCCCCCTTAAAAAAAAAAAACCTCTGGGAGGGCAGGACCGATTTTAACAGGAGTTTTAATTGACATGTAGCTGATGTACTAAGGAGTAACATAGATTATTTTAGAAAATTTAAACAAAAAATAAGTTATTTCCTAAAATTCATATGCTACGCGGTAAAAGTCGCAGGCAACAGCTAGTAAAATATACAAACACTGAATTAACTCGTTGAGTACCTTCATTATAGACACAATTAAAGAACAATAGGTATGTTGCGCTCACCGGTGATCTCACGGTGTTTGATAGTTTAATTAGACTTTTTGGTATAATGAATTTCATTTTTTTTAAATCATGGTTCTATTTTATTGCACTGCCTCGTTGGCCGAGTGGTCGCAAGTGCGACTGCCGGGCAAGGGGTCTCGGGTTCGATTTAAGGGTCGGGCAAAGTACAACTGGCTTTTTAAAAAGAATCTCAGTAGTAGCACGTAGTCTGGAATTGTGCCTGGTATTTGGAAATAGACTCAAACCCTATTACTTAAAACTCATAACATTAATATTGAAAAGGGGGTGTTACATTGTACAGTGGCAATTGTGCACTGCCCTACCCCTTCAGGGATAAAAGGCGTGATGTTATGTTATGTTATTTAATAGAACATGGTATGGTTTTAGTTCATAAGTAACATAGTATAAAATACATTATCAAGAACATAAAACGTATGACAAATGCTCTGTAGGTATATAATTCTTTTTATTATTTTCCTTTCTCATGCTACCTCGTGGGTAAAATACCTGACTTAAATGTATTTTAAAAATTACTTCCCCCCTTTTTCCCTTATGGGGTTCTCAGAGTTATAATCCCATAAAGTAAGGCGAGGCTTTTGTTTTGTTTTTTAAGTAAAGGAACCTTTTATATTTTCGAAACCTTATTTAGACTGTAGGTAAATAATATTGTACGGTTCGTACACTTGCAGATTGTAGTTAATTGTTGGAGTGTGAAGAGAGAAAAGAACACGAAGTTGTAGTTGAAGAAGTAAAGTTGTATTACTGATAGTTACACTAGTTCGTCGATATTGACTATTCCTTTCTCTTAAGTAGTTTGTGGTATTGTTGTAAAATGCACACTGGTCGGTGTGTGTAGCAACCGTGTATTTATAATTAGGTAAAAATGACGCGCAGTCGTACCGACTGCAGTGTCATCAAAAAGCATGTACAGTTGAAGACCGTACATCTTGGCAACCCCAGAGAGTTAACAGTAACTAAAGAGAGAAGGAAAAGCCATTACAAAGCAAAAAAATATTATTAATTAGTCGAAGCTGAAGGCTATATTCTTAGTTCCGGTTTTCAGGCGTTGTTGGCGACGTGTCTCAGAGTGAGCCTCCACGCCGGTTTCCTTGCTTGGCGATGCTGTTTCATTTTGGTCGTCGTAATTCCTCTTACGCATAATTTGCAGTTCAATATCGTTATGCTGCTGCGGTTGTCCTGTAGTTGAAGTTTTGTGCCTTTTCTTACAACAGCGGGGGCAAAGCTTCCTCCAAACCACCACAAGTACCGCCACGATGGCTGACGCCAACAGAATGTAACTGATCGCGTATAGATGGACATCGTGTGTTGAAATCGTACTTGGTAGAGCTTCATTTTCCTTCTGCTGTTTGATTTTGTCTTCAATCTTCGTGATTTCCAGATCTGTAGACTGAAGCGTGTTTGGAGCATAGCGGTACTTCAGATTAACTAGCCGGTTTATGGACGTATCGAAGAGAGCCGGTGTCAATTTATAGTCTATACTTATTTGACTATTGTACTGACGATGGGCATAGATAGTTAAATCCTTTGACTGTAGTACGCATCCCTGTGATAACGTCACTAGGCTTGATGACGACAGAGTGTATGATGTGATGTCATCGTTGCATATTGCCCGTAATGGACACGTATTACAACATATCACTAACCAGCTGTTCGGTGAATGTAACTCGATCCATGCGTCTTTACAAGCCCCCCGCTCTACGTCACAAGGCGTGGTATTGTGGTGCGACAGCAATTTTGCTTCGCATGGAGCGTTGTTGTTATGCAAGTTGTAGGTCGGTAAGGTTTTTCTGCACAGGAAGTTAGTTGACCTTTGCTGTATACAATGTTGGAAATCATCTTCGGTCATCGATATGTAAATATTTTGTTTAAGATTAACAGCGATGTACTTTGTTGATATTTGAACATAGGTGGCTTGTCTAGCTGTTTTTACGGGTAACGGTATTGGTTTATACATGACATAATCTTCGTTGGATACCAGTGGTATGTGTGCTTCGAAAAGGAAATAATTTTCGGTAACCCGTGCTTTTACATTAATCAGTTTATAGAGATCTTTAATATTTTCCCTGTAGTTTTTAATTGGAAATGCCACAGTCTTCGGAAGGTTTCCAGATATCTCCCCTAGTTGCTGAATTAAACGCATGGGACTGATTAAATGGACATCTATGTGTCCTCGGTATACGTTGGTAAGAGTATTAAACAGTAATTCTTGAAACGTGTGCAGGCTGTTAATCAGTAGATACGCTGTCAAGGATGCTGAATTGATGTAAGTCGTAGCAGATATTATTTGCATTTCCGTTTCAATAGAAGCTAAATTCAAGTTAGTTTGGTTGACGAAGCTGTCGATTATGTCAAACTGCCGCTTGATGTTGTTTTCGCTTTTCTTCAAGACTTGATTTTCCAGTTCTACAATAGATGTTTGGTTTTTAATCAAATCCAGAAGATAGTTTTCATTTGTTTGGAGAGACTGAATGTCGTTCTTATATTTTTCGGCGAAGCGTTGATCCAGTATCCCAAACAGACTGTTGGCTACGTACCCGATTCCATCCACTAAGCCTCGTTTCTTACGATTACCGAGGTGCTTATGCGGATTGATCAAGATTGTGTTGTAATAGCTAAGCAATTCCATTTCATGACCGAGTTGGTCCATTGTAGCTCTGCACTGTTGTAGTTTTAATTTGTAGCAGGTGTTTTTCAAATTTGCGAAGTAAGATTCAGTGCGCCGAATTCCTTCCCAGTAGTCAGTTAAATTGTAATACATAATTAGATTCCATTGCTCATGTTCT